AGTGTTTGTCATGAGAGCAAAATATCTTTCTTACAGAAGATTGAACTATAATGATTTTAATAAAATTAGGATTCTAGCTGTGTTTATATTTAGTGTACAATTTTAGTTAAAATCATGTTTTTCATTTTTATGTTAACTTTTTTTTGGTGGCAGTGGTACTGGATTAAATGTAGGGTCTCTTAGATGCCAGCCAAGTATTCTACCACTAAGCTACATCCCCAGCTCTACTTTTTTCTTAGTTATTTGTTTTTCTTACAGGAAACGTGTCCCAGATCACCATCCCTGTTAAGCATTCTCATGTGCTGTTGATATCTGGACCAGTTCATAGCGAAATTGTGTTTGAAAGACTTCAACTTCTTAAAGAAGACTGTGGAATTGATATTTATCTGTGCCCCTTATATCCTTACGTTTGGACACTTAGCTGACCTTCTCTTTTAACATGGGTCTAATTTATTTTGTTTGATTTTCCCATACAATGCAGTTGATAATAAAAGTTCATTTCTCTTACTGTCATTAAAATAAAAAAACGTAAAAAAAGAGTACTTAGGTCTTACTGCTTTGTACATGCCCTGTTTAAAATCTACTTAATGGAAATGATTTGCAGTTTAGAGGTGTTCTATTTAATGATTGATCTTACGCTTTTATGAAATGAATATATTGATTAATACAAGCTCAAGTCAAATGTAATAAACACACCATATGTTAATCTTTTAGTTTTGTTGCTGGGACATAGATAATGCTCAGTCACATGTAAGTTCTAATATCCATTTAATTTTGTTTAATGAAAGTATCATAAAGTATGATACTCAATTTTCTGAGCTAATCGTTGATAGGGTTCTTATGGGAGAATGAAAATGGATGTAGGTATAGGTAGTATGGAATTTATTTGGAAGGCTACTTTAGATTTGCAAATTTTTTTGTTTTATGTTTGGAGATAAGCCCAGGGGCTTGCACATGCTAGGCAAGCACTCAACTGCCCAGCTACCCTTAGCCTTTAGAATTTGGAGGTTAGTACTTGAGGTCAGCCTGGACAACATTGACCCCTCTCGAGAAAATTTGTCTCGATGTTTTTAGTACTTTGCAAGTTCAAGGCCAGTCCGAATTACACTGAGTGATCTGGTCTCAACTGTTCCTATTCAGAAAAAGTGCTTTAGCATACATCAGTTTTGATCCCCCAGTTGAAGCAGAACAGGTATGCGTGACAAAACCTGTAGCTATTTCAATGGGAGAGGTGGGGATGTTCATCCCAAGGGATCTAGGTAGCTTGGAGTTACATCTTAGTATGAAAATGTAGTTGGCTGTATTTTCTCCAGAGGTATTAAAAAGGATAGGCCAGTAAGTACTGTAGTCTTAACAGTTTTAAAAGAGGTAGAAATGTGGGAGTTTTATTATTGAATCTTAAGAATACACCCATGCCTCTTCCCTTGTCCTTTTGATGTGCCAAGGATGGAGCCCTAGGGCCTTGCACATAATTGGCAAGTACTTTATCACTCGGCTGTTTCTCCAGCCCGACTTCTTGCACTTTTTGAGTTCATATTTGAAGCTGTTACAAATTAGTTGTTTTGGGCCTAGAAAAATTCCACTTGTACAAATGTACAATCTTTGCATTTGGTAGGTAAGTATGACCTAGGCCCTTGAATTCCTGTAACAGTTTTAGGATGGAGTGTTTAAGACAGTTTTGAAAAGGGAACATGCTGGCAGCGTCAGTCAGTCAAGAGCTCTGACCCTGGGCGCAAGGCTTTGGGTGTAACTCTCAGCACCGTAAAAGTAAAAATGGATTGGACTCTACAGTGGTTACTGTCACTGTGCGGAAAATCATTTAACTGCTTAGTATTTTTTTTTTTTGTCTTTGAGACAGGATTTCACCTTGCAGTTCAAGCTGGCCTTGAGCTCACTTTGTAGCCCAGGCTGGTCTCGAACTCGCAGTGATCCTCCTGCCTCAGCCTCGCAAGTGCTGGGATTACAGGCATGTGCTACCACACTCAGCAACTGCTTAGTATTTTTAAATCTAGTAACCATTTCTTTGGTTATCTGTGTTGAGATCATTCTTGGCCTTCTTGGGGGCAGTTGAGGCTTACCTTTGTGAACTACCTCAGCTCCTGGGGGCTGTGCTGTAACTCAGGACGTGCAGACAGGAATGAAAGAGGTGCTCTTTTCTTACATCTCAGCAAGACCTGCCACGACATCTTTGTCAGGCAGTCCCTCTTATGGGGCTCTCAGCTCTTAATAGATTTGGGCGTGTATTTCTTTTTCCTCTTCACTCACCCTCAAGGGCAGTAACAGCAGCTGCTGTAGTCTGCATTACTATTACCTTATTTTTTCCTGTACTTTTTCCTGTCTAGCCATAGTTTTTGTTTCCATGAATGCAGATTCTTGTCAGGACCCTGAATGATGAGAGTGAATAAAGTACTCTATAAAACTTCTACAGTCTGCCTTCACTCTAGGAGTACATTAGAACAATAGAAGTATAAACCTTTTCATAACAGCATAGAATTACTGTAGAACTTCAGTGCTCAGGTGATAACAGTTACACTAGGCACTGAGGATGCAAAACTAAATGAGACCTTCCTGTCCTGCAGGAGTGTGGACAGTCAGAAGGAAAAGTACGTGTACTTGTTCTTTTAATAAAGCATTAGTGTTCTTTCTAGGGTAATGGATTAGAACGAATACAGTTTGTTTTTTCTTTTACAATGACAAGTATCTGGCACCATTCAAGTTTGGTGATTTTTTTGTTTTTTTGTGATGTTTAGAATCCCAGAAGGCATGAAGTACATTCATTTAGAAATTTAAAAGAATGAATCCTTGGCATAAGTCTGTTTTGTACTTAGGTAAGCCAGAAGCATTTGCCCAAATTGCAGTTACATTTCTTATAATCAAGACTTAGATTCTATGGCTGAAATACTTGGGGTGGCGGGTGTGCAGCTGTGGTTCTACAGGCATTTAAAAACATCATGCAAGAAGTAACACTGATTTTAGAGTAAATGTAAGTATTGGGCTGCATTGCATAGCAGTTAGTAAAAAAGAACGTTATAGGAACATTTGTCACATGGCAAGCACTGTTTTATACCTTTAAACGTAATCGTAATCCTTACAGGGCCCTGTGAGGTACACATTTACCGTTTTACTGATGACTAACACAGGTGATGACTAACAAAGGCAGAGCTGGGATGTGAGGCCAGATGGTCTGAAGGGCTGCTGTTAGCCATGATACTAGACTGCTTCTGGATCCTTGTGTGTTTGATACGTGCTTTTAGGCAAAGTTGCTTCAGTTCAGTTGATTTTTAGGGCAAATGCCCTTTTAAGTGTAAAGTTACAAACTTGTGCTGTATTTTAAGACAAAATGAAAAACTTGGTGGCAGATTCATTTTCATAGAATCCATGTGAAAATTTTAGTTGGCATCACTATTTCTGGAAGTTAAAATCCTTACATAAAGCTCTAGAAGAGGTGTGTAGCTCAGAGGTAAAGCACTTGCCTCACATTTATGAGGCCCTGGGTTCCATCCCCACCAGCACAAGAACTTCCTCCTGATAACACGAGTGCTTTAGGTTTCAACACTCATGGGTAAAGAAACGTTCTGTTTGGTGCTTCAACATTCTCCCTTTATCTTACTGTCTGTGATGTCAGTGTCTCCCAGAAATGTCAGACCGGACTACAGAAATAGAAGTAAGCATTTGTACGCTCCATGAAATCAATTGAAAACTCACAGTGAAAACATGTTTGGACAGCAAAATCACTTAGCCATATTGAGAAATGTTTATTTGTTGTATATTGATTGTTTTAGAAGAAAACAGCTTAACTGTTGACACTTACTTGACATCTGATTCAGAAGGGTTAGCTTATGTGATGAGAGCCCTTGTGGATCAGCTGACTTCACTGTCTTCTGGCTGTGACCTGCAGCCATGCTGAGAAGGCTGGGGTCTTTAATCTTGGGGGTAAGGGGGGGAGAAGACAGTTCATAAGAAAGTCAGCAGTGCATAACCTCTGCTGTAGATAAAGCTTAGAGGGTAAATTCTTACTGGCAAACTCTTTGATTTCAGTGCTGAGTATATTGGGTTTCAATCATTAGGAATGAGAGGAGTCTATAAATGCTAGCTGTCTAACTGAAATCTGTGCTTACTACTAAAGGAGAAATATGATTTACTTATGGTGTAAGCCCATTGAATTGAATGGTCAAAGGGATCCTTCGGCATTCTGATCGATGGGGAGCAGGTGCTTGACAGGTGATATGAGGGAATAATGTGCTATCACAGAACTTCTAGTGCAGCAAGAACTATTGCTCGTACAAAAGCATACATAAAAATAGTCTGCTTTGTTATGTTATTTTAGAACAAAATTTTGCTGGGTTAAGATGCTGTTCTGGGAAAAGGACTTTTTTTTTTGTTCTTTTTCTTTTGAGACAGGGTCTCTATGCAGTTCAGGCTGGCCTTGAGCTCACTTTGTAGCCCAGGCTGGCCTTGAACTCGCAACAATCCTATTGCCTCAGCCTCCCAAGTGCTGGGATTACAGGTGTGAGCCACTACACCTGGCTTGGAAAAGTAGTTTTAAGCTCAGTCCTTTATCTTCAAAAAGTTTATTAATGCTGACACCAATTTCTTTCAAGTTTATGTATTCATGAGAAGGTCTATATATACATAATGACCAGAATACTAAGGTTTATGCACTGTCAGAAAAACCCCTGTCTTTAAAAATGAAAATAAATGGGAACAAAAGCAGAAATGCTGAGGCAAAAAGGGCAGAGAGACGTCTAGCATAACCTCCAACCTGCAATTCAAGTTTCAGGTGAACAGATTTCTCACCTACTCCCTTTCATTGCGGTTCTGGAGATGTGGTTTTCCTCCCAGGACAGGGATTCCACTCAGCCTCGTGGTGGGGAGGGCTTCACTGGGAGGGGAGGGGGTTGGCCAGGAATCAGAGAGACTTAACGTCAGTGAAGCTACATTTCAGAAGAGTCCACTTTCCCGATGACTCGTAAGGTCGTCAGTGACAGTACACCGGAGCAGACCTCAATCCAGACTTAAGAAAAAATGAGCAAAGTCAACTAGAACCATTGGTACCTGGACCGCACCAAGAGGCACTTCAGCGGGAGTCTTCAGAGGTGTTAAACTGCTGGGGGAGATTTCATCTTGAGCCTCTGAAACAACAAACAGCTTTTTTTCTGTGAATTTGATACACTAGGTAGCAATATCCTATTGTCAGTGGCCTGGATTAGTAACAACGCATAGATACCATTTACAGTCATTCACAATAAAGAAAATACGTCCTGCAAAGGGCTAGACACAGGCCACCCGAACATTTAGTGGGTTCTTTAACAAGTACCTTATTTAAGGTGCTCATGCCCTTCAGGACCAGCCACTGCTGCAGAATGGAGGAGGTCAGAGGCCAAACCTCGCTCTTCAGTGTTTCAAGGTACCTGCTCGGAGAAGCTGTTTTCCTACAAAGTCACTGTGATCATTCCGAATAGCCCGGCCACTGAGAGCACACCGCTTCCCTTTGGACAAGCGTTCTTTTTCTCAGTGTTTCTTTATGGGATTGCACTGGGCTCTCCAGCAGCCCCTTCCCCGCTAATGGTGGGTCTTCAGAGCATGCCGGAGAGGGGTCCTTGGGACTGACCTAAAACTACTGCTCTTCAGGTGCTGGAAGGAGGAAGTGGAGGAGGTGGGGCAGGTGCCTGTGGCTCCTTATCTTCTTCCATGGCCAATGCGTAGCGCCTGGCTTTTCTGGGATCGGGCTCTGGCGTCTCCTCTGCCCATCTTCCCACACGTCGCACACCTTTGCCCACCTTGGGTGCGTTCCTGCAAGGGTTGTGATCATAGATGACCACCTTCAGACCTGACAAGTGGGCCAGGCTGGGGAAGTAACGGATGCGGTTCCCGTCTACATCAATGACCTCCAGGAAGGGCATGCGAAGCAGCACAGCTGGGAAGTCCGTCAGCAGGTTGCCCGAGAGCCAGATGGTCCGAAGCTCACGGAGGCGCTGGAGCTGGCCTGGCAGCAGACGCAGGGCATTGGAGCCCGCGTGCAAAGTCTTGAGGAGACTGAGCTCGCACACCACCTCTGGCAGCTGGGTGAGGCAGTTGGCTTCGATCCACAGGGTCCGGAGGTTCTGGAGCAGGCTCAGCTCGTTGGGGAGGTCACAGAGTTTGTTGTTGCCCAGGTAAAGGATACAGAGCCGTTTCAAGGTACACACCACCTGAGGCAGAGCCTTGAAGTTGTTGAAATCTAAGGCCAGAATCTGCAGGTTCTGCAGCTGCCCCAGCTCTGGAGGCAGACTGTTGAGGTGGTTATCACTCAAGTAGAGCTTGACCAGCTCCGTGAAGGCGCACACGTGCACCGGGAGGCGGCGCAGCTGGCTCCCGCTCACATCCACTGTTCTGTCCAGGGGCATCTCCCGGAGGTCTCTGACCACATAGTTCTGGCAGCAGTCCGCAGGGATGAAGGCTACGAGGGCCTTGATGATGTTCCCCATGTGGAGCTGGAAGCACAGGGAGCCCCTGCCCACCAGCCTACCAAGCGGGGCTATTCTGCTCACTGCCCTGAGGCTCCCCTACCCTCCCTTTATAACCCCGAGATAGCAGGACAAGAGCCAGTCACTTTGACAGAGAAAAGTGCTCCTGATAGCAACTTGAGTGTTAGATGACAGATCCAACAGACAGCAGGGGATAGGAGGCCATGCCTGACTCACATACTTGCCTTTAATCACCTAGTCCCCCTCTATCTCTTTCTTTTCATTTCAAGCTGAAAGTAAGTATGTTTCTTATAATAATAAAATAATGAGCTATTACATAAAGGTACAAAGAAAAGTAAAAACACAAATTGTTCTAGTACAAAGTGATAACTATTGTAAACATTTGGATGTATGTGGGCCTCTTATCTTTTGCTACAAGTGATCAATTTGCTTAAAAAATTGCACCATGAGTCTTTTTTATTATATCATGGACATATTTTTGTTATCTAAATAATTATTGTAGATACCTGCATACTATCTCATTATATGGATGTACAGTGATTTAAACAGTTCCCTATTGTTGGACATTTAGGTTACTTATAATGTACATAAGGTTACTTATAATGTTACTATTGTAAATATTTTTTTTTGGTCTGGGAATCGAACTCAGGACTTTGTGCTTGCCAGGCAGACTGTGCCACTGAGCTACATCCCCAGCCCTATTGCAAACATTATTGTTCTGTACATACAGATGCAAGCAGTGATCCACTAATTTCTATAGGAAATGTCCTTAATGGTATTATTGAGTCAAAGGTATACATCCTTTAAAGATCTTCAACTGATAGTCTTTGTACCAAGCCAAACCCGGACCAGGGTACATACCCAGAAGCAGTGGCTGTGGATGTCCATTTTCTTATGTTTTTATTCTTATCAGGTAATATTTTCCCATACTTTAGAAACTTGCCTTTGGGTTGGGGATGTAGCTCAGAGGTAGAGAACTTGCCTAGCATGAGCAAGGCCATGGGTTTGGTCTCTAGCAGTGGATTGCCTGCCCCCCCGCCCCAAAACCTTGCTTCTGACCAAAGACAAGAAAAGCAGAAGAAATGAGGAACACTAGCCTTCAGAAGTTTAAATAGCCAGCGTGGTGGCACATACCTGTAATCCCACACTAGAGAGGCTGAGGCAGGAGGATCACTGGGAGTTTGAAGCCAGCCTGGGCTACATATAGTGATTTCAAGGCCAGCCTGCACTACATAGCATGACCTTGTCTCAAAAAACCAAAAACAGATAAAAAAAAAAAAAGAACGCTTAACTAAATTAGGATGCATTCCTATTGTGCAATTGTGTCAGATACATTTAAAGTCAGTCAGATTTTTGTGCTTCTCTTGCCTAGTGCCCAGTTGTTGAAGGGAGGCAGCCATCCACCGGAACCTTTCCTAGAGCTGCTCTCGAAGAGAGGTCTTCCAGTGCTGGCCCGCGGGAATGTGGCTAACAATGTTTAGTGTCACCTTCAGACGTGGCTGGATATTGTCATCTAGGGTGACTTTAGAAGCTACCAAGTATGTGGAAGTCACATGTTCAAGTTGGCAGGGCCCTGAGTCATTCTGGATTCCAGAGTAAGTGCTCGGAGCAGAACACCTGCCTTCTCCCACTTCCCACTCAACCACCAATAGGATTTCAGTGAGAAGTAAACTTTTATTAAGTCACCGAGACCTGGGGGCTTATCTGTTATGCTACCTTAGGGATAGGGTAGTGAAAAATGAGGTAAAGGTACACACAGCACTGATTGGGAAAGATAAATTGGGAAGAAAAAAGTAAGATTTAGAGCAGGGTTTTTTTTTTGTGATTCCTACCTGTGAGAAACTGCATATATCCTGGTGTATACATTTAGAATATCGGTAATAAACATGATTATCTATGGGGAATCTGCATGAAGATTTGGAGGTGACAGGGATGCTGTCTTTTCCATTATGCCCTTTTGTACCTATTAATTAAAAAAAAACCTCTAGCAATATTATTTAAGTTTAAAAACTCTAGTCTAGAAAACCAATGAATCAATCAGGCTACCTCTCCTCTGCGAATGCTGCTGGGTGTGTCCTGGGGCGCTCACCGCTGGGCTCCTCCAACCCGGAATGTGATAGACTGGGAGGAGGGGCTCACTGATAGGCTTCTCCAACCCGGTACCGTGATAGACTGGGCCTCGCCGTAGACAACAACATCTGTGTGAATGGTGGCTCCGCGGAGATGCCTGGTGAAGCAGCCTCGCTCTCCACTTCCTGCTTTCAAGATCACAAAGCCGGGTGTGGCCGGGGATATAGCTCAGAGGCATAAGTTTTTGCCTGGCAAGCCTGAGGTCATGAGTTTGATTCCCGGTACCAAAAAAAAAAAAAGCCAGGCTCGGTGGCCCACACCTGTAATCCCAGCACTCGGGAGGCTGAGGCAGGAGGATCGTTGTGAGTTCGAGACCAGCCTGGGCTACAAAG